GGACTTTACTATATGAAAAATGGCGTACAGTTTAGTAGGCTGTTGTGTATTGTATCTTAAACGTACTTTATAACACAAGGAAAGAGGATAGTATTAATGCATGGAAGCATCAACATATACCAAATCCCTTTATAATTGAGACGGGATAATTTTGATGAAACGAAATAAAAACTTTGCCAAGAAAGCGTAAACGTTTGAATACTATCAATTTACATAATTTGTATTTGATATAAACTGTTCTTATTACAGAAATTAAAACTGTATCAACCATAAAACGTCACTAATTCATAATAACTGGAAAGGCTTTCACCAAACTTTTTACACAATTAGAAAAAGAAAGTTAAACGTCCCCGATTTGGTTAAAAATTTCATATTCGTTTCACATCACAATTGCTTGACCGTGCGATGAGCATTCATTAATGTAAAAAACTTAGAAATGTCATTTTCTTCAGACATTCAAAATAATGTTACCGAGAAGGCATCTGAAAACCAATAAAATGGCTGTATAACTTGCACTGACGGACATCTTAAAATGACATACAAAGTCGAAAACTTTTCAAAATCTAAGTTGTGCAATTTTAATAAACACGTTTTTAATATAATAGAAACATTAGAGAACTTGCTAGGAGCTCAAGAAATTTATTTTAACATTATGGTTTATTCAATTAAATTTGCAGTATACTGAATGTTAACATCAATGCGACAAACTTGAGACTACTTTTTTTATTGCTAGTGGGATGGGACTAATTCCCTTGTACTGCAGCCACTTCTGGCCTATTGTACTAGCCCCAGATGATAGGTGAGGGTGATTCTGGAGCAACTGGTGGAATGAAGATTGGCACGGGAAACCGAGGTACTCGGAGAAAACCTGCCCCAGCGCCACTTTGTACACCACAAATCCCACTTGGCCAGACCCGGGATCGAACCCGGGCCGCCGCTGTGGGATGCCAGCGACTAACCGCTTGAGCTATGGCGCGGCCTTTACCGCAAGTAACTTTCTGAGTTAATATTAACTGAAATTTAGACATTCATAAAAAAATTGCACCCCTTTGGATTGAATTGGGTCACAGAGAAGTTTTCCTAGTAGTTTACAACACTGACTTAAGGGAACACTTTCTATATTCGGTTGCAGGTACAGTCAACTTGTTCTTGCTCTTAAATGTAACTGGGTTATTGACATTAAAAGTCCAACTGCCCCTCAGCTACGGGAGAAGGACCATACTATGTTAAGATCCTAAGTAAAATAAAAAGTAACCTGATGTAATAAATACAAAACTAATCTAAACCTTCCCCCAAGTGTCTCGTGACGTGCATCACGCCGATGGGAGTTGATGCCACAAAAGGGGCATAATGGAAAAGTAAGCTGTCGCCGTAGGTTGAAGGTAACCCAACTAAATACCAACGTGGATGGAACAGTCTTTGGAAAGCTAATAGTCGCCCAGTGTGACTAATAATTCCATGCTTTCTACTGCAGTCATGTTCTCAGTCCACACTCTCACACTCCATTTATTTCATACCCCATCTACGCCTAAGTTCCTCAAAGGTCTATTCCCCTAAAGCGTTCCGAAAGAAGTTTTTTTTTCTCATGGGGTGAGACTGAGTCCACTTGGTACTGCGGCAACTGTTTGGCCTATTGTAACAGCTCCAGATGATAGATGATGAATGTGGAGCAGTCGGTGGAATGAGAACTGGCAGGGGAAACTGAAGTACTCAGAGAGACCTGCCACAGTGCCACTTTGTCCACCACAAATCCCATATGACCTGATCCGGGCTCGAACCCGGGCCGCTGCGGTGGGGAGCCGGTGACTAACCGCCTGAGTTATGGGACGGCCTGCCGACCGAAGTTTGTACGCATTTTTCATCACCATGAGAAGCAGGCCTTGCACATTCAGCCTACGCCATCTTTCTTGCTTCAATTCATTCATCAATGGCTCTACAGCCCTTTGTTGGGCTCCGACCCTTTTTTTTTTTTTCATATTCGTAATCCTATACACCGACCGACCGACCGACCGAGCGAGCGACCGCCGCTCACGGGCGAAGCTAGTGCCAACTTTTGGGGATAAAGAGTGTCTCGTGATAAGCGCAACGGATTCCCACGGTCATTACTATCGGTTTTCTAGACCGGAGCCGTTACTTTTCCGTTCAAGTTGCTCCTCAGTTATCCTCACGAGGCTGAGTGGACCCCGTTCCAGAACCACTACTTCTCAGAAAATTTGGTAGCGCCGGGAATCGAACCTGGGATCTCTGGATCTGTAGCCAGGAACTCTGACCAAGAGTTCGCTTGCGGACTAAAAACCAAGGATTTGTTTTAATTCTATACACAGTCGGTATGATTCCTTCGACGGGGGATCAGCACCTCACAAGGCCGCTAACTACAAGCAGGGCAATACAAACACAGAATAAACGCAGACATACATCCATGCCATGAGTGGGATTAGAACCCACGATCCTAGCTTTCGAGCGTTCGAAAACAGTTCATGATTTAGACCGCGCGGCCACTGTGACTGTCTGTTGGATTAATTACCCAACTAATATTTGGTTAGGAATACAAATAACGGGCATTCTCCGTATGCAGTTACCTCCATCCTCTTGTAATTCCTCCCTCTATCCACACATTCTTTTCAACATGCTGTTCTCAAACCCTCAATCTGCTTTTCCCTTAGTACAAGAGATCACTTGTCGGCCTTAAATAGAAACCCGTAATGTTATATTACTACGTATCTTTGTGTTTAAAATCTTATGTAGCAAAGACGGACCGCCTCTGTGGTCTAGTGGTCCGAGTTCCTGGTTACAGATCCAGAGGTACCGAGTTCGATTCCCGGCGCTACCATATTTTTTTTTTTAGAAATAGTGGGTCTGAAACGGGGTTCCCTCAGCCTCATGAGAATAATTCAGGAGCTATTTCAAGGAAATAGCGGTTCCGGTCTAGGAAACCGAAATTAACGGCCGTGGGAATCCGTTGCGCTGACCACGTGACACCCTCTATCCGCTGAAGTTGGCACTAACTTCGTCGACAAGCGGCGGTCGCTCGGTCGGTTATAGTTCGCTTGCGGACTACATGCCACGGATTTTTTTTTTTGTTTTACGTAGCAAAGAGGAAGATAACATTCTGAAATACCGTATTTGCGCGAATTATATGGTAAGATTTTTTTTTATTACTGCGTCTTAGAATAGCGGGATAGCCTTACTTTTGGGTCCTTAAGTATAGGTGCCAAGTGGACAATTACGAGGGCTTCTAATTATATTTATATTTACGAAAATACCTAGAACTATATATATGGCATTAAATTTGTAATTTATTACCTCTTATAGCATAGTTTTTACTTATTTTTCTCCACATCCCTCAGAACTACATTACATTAAATTAAAAAATAATTTTTATTATGACATTTTTATTACAAAAAAATATGAAGTCTCATATTTGGGCTTATACAATAATCACTTTCGGACTATAATCTTCTCTTCAACTTCCTCGTGAATATAGTTTTAATTTTGTCACTATCATTTCCAAAATATGTTAACTCAGACCCTTTAATACTAAGGCGCCTACTTCACATTCAGGGGGTCCAAGGTTCAGAACTCTGCCAAGAGGTCAGCTCACCTGACGCTCCTGACTGCGGTTGTTTTTAGTGTTGTCTCTCTCCTGGTGTATGCAGAGTTAATTTCTGAAATTAGGCCATGTCCACTACTTTCTACGTCCTCTCCAATTCCTTCTTCATGAATTGCTTTATAATTTGATGCTATGTACCCCAAGCTACGAGGAGCACCGTTAAATAAATAATAAATAAAAACATAAATATAAACAAAATCACTTCTGTACTTCTTTTGGCTTATTTTGGACTTCACCCATCGTCCGGTATATAAAAGACAAAAAACACGACGTTTCGGAGACTGGATCTGTCTCCGTCTTCAGGTGGATAGGGAGGTTAAACCTACTCAGTTGGGCCCCTTAGAAAGAGCTAGTCTCAATCACTGGACAGC